TCTCCCGAGAGACTAACGTACAGTGCTAATCAGACTTGTCTATAACGCGCGAGCGTGCGGCTTTCTCCGGGGAGCGCTAGACTGGTGGCATTCGCGGAAACTAAGCTAGTCACGTGGCGCAACATGGAACGACCCGCTCGAGGGGTGTCCTGCCCACTCTATCAGCTGGCGGCGAACGCGGAAGGCTGCCCGCACGCTTTTTACAAGCATCATTGCTCGAACAATAAACAAACTAAAGCACGAAGGTGTATCAATGATGTCGTCATCAAAAAACAAAATATATTATAAACCACTTTACTTTTATCGCTTATCAAGCTGGTAGAGTGGGCCGGGCACCCCTCGAGCGGGCCGTTCCATGTTGCGCCACGTGACTAGCTTCGTTTCCGAGAATGCCACCAGTCCAGCGCTCCCCGGAGAAAGCCGCACGCTCGCGCGTTATAGACAAGTCTGATTAGCACTGTACCTATCACCCTGCATCCCACCTCTTCTTTTGGATTATTTTATTAAAACATCACCACCACCACCCTACGAGCCATCAAACCAATCCAGTGCTTTCACCCTGGCGCGTGACATCGTGCTTCCCCGTGCAGTTGTACCCAACGAGAAGTCCACGTGACACACTTTTAGCGAAGGACTGGCCAAGATGGCCCGTAGTGTCGGCTGTGGTACAATGCAAAGCAAAAACGGAGTATAGACAGGGTTTTCGCCAGGTGTTTTGTATTATCAACTGCGTTGTTGCTGCCGTCACCTAGTCTATGTAGCCAGGTAGTCGCACTTTTCTTAGACCAGCGGGCACGCGCACATTTTTATGTCTCCTCGAGTGAGTATAGAAACACGGGAACGTGTTGTGAGAATGTCGATGAGGCGGCATGACGCAAAGGGATATACCGTAGCAACAACAGTCGTGGTTATACAGGCAGGGAGGGGCGTATATCGGCGATGCACTTCGACATTGCAAGCGCCCTGCCCTCTTTTGCCACGGAGCAGGGGCTTTGTGCGATCAACGGAATAGCCTAGCAGACGACGCTCCCACCAGAAAGGGCTCCGCGGCACGGCGCTGGCTGTCCCGGCGGTCTCGGCGGTCGACGCTCGCTTGATATTATTGAAACAATAGGCCACTGTACTTTTCGAGGTTTTGACTTCGCGCCGGTGGCTTTCACTGTGCTCCAAGTTGTAAATGAAGCGCAGTTCTTCTCGTTTCCACAGCAAGCGCGGTGGTCTAATCTCGTGGCCACAGGGGTGAAGAACTTTTCTGTGCTCTGCTTTGCCTTAGGTTGGAGCTTGGATCGCTTGGGTCGTCTAGGAGTGTGAGGTTGCGGCAATGGAAGCTGCTTAGCCTGTGCGGTAGCTCGAGTTATCAAGAGCTTCGCTACTGATCACTGGCATGATATTTTTTTTTGCCTAATTTCTTGGCAAATCAAGTTTGGCCGCGACAGTGTGACCACAAAAGAACCCCTTCTCCACCGCACACACAAAAAAAAAAAAGAAAAAAAAAAAAAAAAAAAAAACGTGTTTATGCTGTTGATTTTGGCACTGGAGGCCAAGTAGCACCTTTTCGTATTGTGAGCCCGTGTTATACCTTCACTGGCAATGAAACGGAGCGTTTCCTGGTAGTCATGTTCTGGTCTCGGACAGTTTTATACTCGTGTCAGCTGCTTTCGTGCCGCCTCGGCGCACTGCTCTTTCTATTTCCCGTCGGTCACGAGCAACCTTACCTACAAAAAGGCATTTCACACATCGTTTTTTTTTTCTTTTCTTTTTTTTTTTTGTGTGAGCTGTTTTTTTCCTTGTCGAGCATCCACACTCGGATGGAAACGCTACTCCAAGCCCTAATTGTTCCACAAGGTTCATGTAAAGCGGTGACGCGATTAGTGGGATGGTTTGTGCGACCATCCCACTAGGGTTGTTGGTTGTTGCTCCATGGTGCACTCCAAATCAAGGAAACCAAAGCGTCTTTTGTGTAAGGGCTGCAAGCTTCGGGCTACAGGCCCTGAGGTATCCAGATGAGCCCAACATTGCAATCCGATCTTCTGCAAGACTGAACGATCCCCATCGAAATTTTCATACCATCTCAAACTGCAAGAGTAGCGAAGGAAGAAAACTTTTTGTAGTTTTCCGCTCGGATGGTCGTACTGTTGGGGGAAGAGGAGTCGGGAAGGAAGATTAAATGAGAAAAAGAAAGAAGTAAAAGTGGCAAACGCGAAGATTACTAAAGGGACTTTGTCAGAAAGATTGAGACTTAAAGTTTTTACAGATAAAAACCGTAGTGTTTCCTACGGGTCCCGACATTCTTTCCAGCTCTCCGACTGGCGTGACGTACAATAAACTAGAAGACTAAAAGTTTGTCCCGTTTAATAATTCCGTCGTGCGTGTTGCTTGTCGTTACTCACAAAAGACTGCCGCAAGTGTCGGGGGACTTCACTCAGACCCTGATTATGCCATTATCCTTGGGGCAGCCAATCGGTGACATCATGCATCAACCACGAAAACCATAACCCAAAATATGCTTGCGGACAGAAACTCGAGACAGCAGTGCTGGAGGGATCATCACGCAGCCTCAGATTCCTTCGCACGCCGTGGCCGTGAAGCTTTCAACGCTGTCGACCCTTTCCCTGGTCGCCAAAGAAAGACGCGTCTAAAGTTGGGATGCTGCACGCACGCATCGAGATGCCGTGGCGGCGGGGGGAATACAATGAGCTTAACCCCACGAGTAGCTAATTGCCCGACAGGGGCTTCATTATCCAGTCCCCCTCCGTTCCGGTCTCCGTCTCCGCGCACCGTTCCAGTGAGCAAGGAAGGCCGGAAAAACGCAGACAATGGCCGCGCTCTGTGGCGCTCGTCTTCTTTTTCTTAGATTTATTTGCGATGACTATGAACAGAAAAACACGGACAATGGCGGCGGCCGGCCAAATCGGTTCCCGTCCTCGCGATGGTTCGCACAATTCTCAAGGTTGGGTTCCGCTAATGGGTCGCCGCCGTGGGGGGACCTGGGGACTAGTGGGTCTTCGTGGAGGGTGCCGGGACTGGTCTTCTAGCCGGGACCCTCATCATCCGCTCTTGGAAGGGCATGACAATGATGACCGGGTCGCGTATAAGAGATGGAACCAGGGGTGCTATGTTGCGCTTTTTGCACTCCCAGGAGACTTGGAAGAGGGAAGTGACGTCAACGACACAGCAAATGCAGATTGGATGTTGACAGAAGAAAACGAAATCAACACCCAATCTGCGTTTGCTGTGTCGTTGACGTCACTTCCCTCTCCCTAGTCTCCTGGGAGTGCAAAAAGCGCAACATAGCCCCCCAGCACACGGGACGTCGGTCCCCTTCCTTTCGGGACGACAATGGGCCTGACGGAAGCTTTTGGGCTGTGTGCGACTCCTTGCTCATGTCTCAGCCGAGACGATTTTGTCCGCCCGTGCCCTTTTGCCGTGGACCACTATTAGCGTTATTACTTTTTAGTTCTTCGCCAAGCGGGGGAGTCCACTTGAGGCCCAATGGTAGTCAGGTGCGGTGGGTGCTGTGTTTCGCTTTACTACACAGGGTGTGGTGGTACTAGTGTGCCCGTTGGTTTGAAATGTGCCGCAGTAAAATGTCACCGAGGAGAGTGACCCCCTACCTGGTTTCCTCGGGATAGTCAGCAACGCAGGTCAGCTAAACATACCACATGTTGTAAACGCTAGATATTAGGGCACCAGGACGTATAACATGCCCCGATTTACATTTTATGTCGTACTGACCCGTACGCCATAATATATAAAGTGTAATCTGAGTGTCCTCTTTTTAATGTATTAATGGAAGCGAGGTGGAGTTGGAATGATTAAGAACGCAGTATAATGTTAATACCTCTTTGGAGGCCATATTCCCCCATTTATAAGGAGATCGTTTTTTTTTTTACCTGCTAAATCTCACGTAAGGCCACGATGATATCCCAGAGATTTCATCCTGTCCGGGCAATCATAGGACGTAACTAAAAAGAAAATTAAACGTTTATTTTATGCTGCTAACTATGAAAAGGGATACATGGCTATTAAAAGGAATACATGGCTATTTCTGAGCGTACTTCCGAAACATTGCAATGCCCTTGCCGTTGATCTCGGTGAAGTAGGGAAGCTCCCGCTTGAGGGCACTGTAGTAGTCTCGGACTCTGGGATGGGCGTCCAGGCTGTAAGCGGCTACCTGAAACCAGAATACACACGAACCGCGCAGTGGTTATACTGGAGATCCGCATTCGCAAGGGATTAACTAGCGCCTGCCGATCCCGTCTTGCGGTTTCCGGTGGCTTGAGTCGAGTGCTACAACATCTATAACGGTGAAAACAAATAAGCCCCGCTAACAAGCATAAAATACTAAGGTATTGGCGATTCCAGTGAAATCGACGCCGCGTAGCGGCAACGCTGAGAAGCTCAGGAGAGGTCGTTTTGGCTCTGTCGTCTGCTATCTCCGCTTGGTTCTCGTAGGCAGCATAGAAACAAACATCGTTTCTAGTAATTTATTCTATGCTTCCGCAGTGTCATTCCTAGGCAATGATAGAAGGTTTTCACCGTCGAAAAATTGCTATTGCCGTCATATATAACACCGATTTTACGCTGCAGTGCAATAAATTTATGGTGGTCCGCGTGCTGAACGACGAAAAAGACCAGCTTTCGTCCGCCATTTTGCCTGACCATCGCGCCCCCTATAGTTTCTGGAGTCACGAATACAGAGAAGACATCCGTTATCGTTTCTGTTACCGGTACCACAAAACAAAAAACGACAGCTAGCCGTCCCCCCTTCTTGTCACAACTTTTGATAACACTAATTTGAAGAGAAGTGGCATACGTCAACGAAGGACAGAGTGCCTGCGACAGCGATGTCGGCAAGGCTGATCTCGGCGCCAGTCAGGTAGGGCCTGTCGGACAGGAGCTGCCCGATCACTTCCAGGGCGTCGGTCATTCGGGCTTCCGTAGCGGAGTCGTAACTCGTCTTGTGAAGCAGCGTCGGATACTTTTGAAGAGAGAAATGCTCAGATTAAGCCCAGAACAACGCAAGGGAAATGGGTCATGGGACTTCGAATGCTCACGAGGTAGGCAGACATTGTCTTGTAGAGGGTGCCGATATCGAACATCAGGAGATTGTCGATCATTGCGCGCTTCTCGATGTCCCGAGGGTACAAGGAGCTCCCGGCAGCGTACTTGTCGACCAAGTACGTAACGATGGCACGGCTGCGACGGAAGGGCGACGATATAAAGCAGTGTGAGGTGCGCAAATATCGAAGGAACGCCTACCTTTCATACAGGATGATGTTGCCATCGACCATAGTGGGAACAGTGTGAGCGGGGTTAAGCTAGAAAAAAGCAATAATAAGCACAAGCGAATTGAACAGAAGCAACATCCGTTTAGGAACAATTAAGCATGATAAGTGAAGGTTCACTTTTTCAACAAGGCATACAAGTCCAGGGGCACTATGTTGCATGTTTTGGACTCCCACGGCGACTACGGAGAAGGAAGTGACGTCAACAACGCAGCGAATGCAGATTGGATGTTGCCTGATCTCTCATCAATCAACATCCAATCTGCATTTGCTGCGTTGTTGACGTCACTTCCTTCTCCATTGTCGCCGTGGGAGTCCAAAACATAGGTATCGCAACATATATGTACCCCAGATATCGCGTTCCGCTGTGCCCAGATGAAAGAATGAACAGTTATCAAATGCATGAAAGGAAACTTGATGAACGCTCGCCTTACTTTACCTTGAGAAAATCTTTCAATTGAGTATCGCCGGCAGCAATGTCAACCTCTTGGATTGTGAGCGCAATACCGATGTGCTGGGCCACCATCCTGACCACACGACAAGGCACGCTGGGCTCGCAGCTGTACAGTACCACAGACATGACGACAAAGGCGATACCGGACCAACAGCCTTGACCCGACAGACACTTACTTTTATAACAGTCAGTGGTAGCGGAAGTAGTATGCACGCAGGCGCGACGAGCGCGAACAAGTGATTGGCAACATTTCCCGCGTTTATCTCTCGATTTTATTGCTGTCATCGAGACAGCGATACGTTCACTTTCAAGCTGAGTCATCGCCTGCTCGCTCTTTGCGTGTGATTTTGCGCCGAGAGCTTTTTGTCACAGGATGTAAGACCAACGGTTGACTGGTGCAACGAGCACGCAGCTTCCGCGGCACTAAGAGACAGGATATCCACATCTATTTTCGTGTGTCCTAATCTGTTATACAATTTGCTAGACATTAGACGGTAATACATTGTAAAGAGCGAATTGTTTCTCTCCCACGTTATTTTTTGGGATCCGGACATTTAGGACGTTTCAGTGCGGTCTTTTCGGTGCACGGACATTTCGGTGCACGGACATTACGGTGCACGGACTTTTCGGTACACGGACGTTTCGGCGTAAATATGAGTTTCGATTTATTTCCCCAAATTTCAAGAAACCCGACGTAAATTAGCATATATACCAACGGGCTACCATTTGGTTTCCCCACACGGCAGAAGGATTGGAACAAACTGGAAGGCATAAAAAAAAAAAAAAAGGCTTGCATTCAGGGAGCGAGAGGACAAGTCCGATATGTGTCGGCTTGTGGTGCACCCAACACTTATACTCATATCGTCATATACTTGCCGTGTATTCTTCCATAGCTCTACATGGTGCCGTGATTTTCCCCAAAATAAATCATGACTGAAAACATCGCCATTGTTGAGTGTTGTTGTATACACGGGAAGAGGGGATGCCTGCACGTAATGTTAGCCTCCTTGGGCAGAGGCAAGGCTCGCACAGGCGGGGAAAGAGGGTGAGAAAAGAAGGGAAAATCATAGCCACGTTTCCCTCCTCGCGCCACCCAGACGTAGATTTACGTGAATACCGAATATCCCAAATAACGCGCCCTGATTTTTTTATTTATTTTTTTTTCAAAAGTGGATCGTTTTATGCCAACGAAACCAACTGTATGTTGTTAGCAAGCGTCTTGCGAGAGTTGCAGAATTTTTAAATAAGCCTAATTAATAAAACTTTAGGACGAATTACCTAATTTTGTAAGTATTGTATTAAGAAACAAAGTTGAGAAACACACAAACTAGCTGTTTGCAATGTGATCTTTTTCTTTTTTTTTTTTCGGATTAGTAAAAAAAAACCTTGTGAAAGATGACAAAATACCCCGTGATAACGCGCCCGCCCCATCATAAGCTCAATTTCAATTTTCACAAACTTTCTTTATAGGCCGAAAAAAAAATCGCGCAAGACGAATGCAGCGTGCTTTATTACTTCCGCAAGCAAAACCCCTTATGTTCTACATTGGGTTTTTTCAGCGAAAGCTATCAAAAATTGCTAACAATAAGGTCGTTAAAAAAGAAAAAAAAAAAAAAAAATATATATATATATATATATATATATATATATATATATATATATATATATATATTGTAAACCGTCCCCTCCAGGCCGTCGCGCCATCCTTATCTTAATAAAGTGTAACAACAATATATATATATATATATATATATATATATATATATAGATAGATAGATATAAGTTATTTTATAGTCCTGGGAGACGCCAGGATCTGCAAGATAGAAAAAATTGCAATCTAAATAACTAAATTTGCTAATTAACTTTCTAATTAACGACTTTTAGGTGAAGCAACCGGCTCTGATATATTCGTTGCGAAGCTTTGCGCTGTAACCTGGGTGACAAGACAGTTACGTGGAGTGATATCAAATTTCGGAAATCATACCCATACACAGCGCCAAGTTCGTCGGCGAATATCTCCAAGCCGGTTGCTTCTTTTTACTTTCTGTGAATTTCTTTAGCCTGGTGGTGTCCTTTTAAATTCTAATTGCGACATACACCTAAAATTCGCTAATTATAAAGCTAATTAGCACGTTTTAGTTAACTAGATAGTGATTTTTAAACTATTTTTTGCACTTCCTGGCGTTCCCCGCGACTGAAAGTTGGTTTTAAAGAAATATATTTTTAACGACTTTTTTTGTTTAAGAATTTTTGAAAGCTTTCGCTGAAACAACCGTATAAACATCGAAAGAAGTTGACCTCAGATCATGCACTACTGCAATTTTCGCACCACAATTAGTAAACATTTCATCCCATGTAAAATCAATTTACTATTCACACCCCTATACTATTCTGTAATAAGCTACAGATAATCGATTACTCTTTTTTTTTTTTTTTTTTTCACGGTGCGAGGTTATTCAGCACAGCGGAAATGGGCTCCGCAAGAGGCGCCAGCCTACCAGTGAGTTTGGAAAAATGACTAGAGTGTTAGATTGTGGTTGGAGTTTATTTTTCTCTGTCACTCCCTAACCAGGTAGAGAACTGCCAAAAATGACTGCTATGTTGATTTTTTCTTTCTTCACTGGATTAGCGAGTTAGGAGGGTTTTGTATTCAAAGTGCTGAAAGAAACAGCAGAACTACGGCACTGACATCATACAGCTACTCTTTGTAGACCATTTATGCCAGGGATGCACTCTAAAAAAAAAAGGCGTCATCTTAACACTTTTTGGAGTGTAAATGGTTTGTCGCAGAATCCACCCTTTTTTGAGAGTTAGGGTTACTCTTCGAAAGAAGGTGTTGACTTTACTCTTTTAAGAGTAACAAGGAGTTACTCTTGACAAGAGTTACAATTACTCTTCAAAACGAGGTGTTGACTTTACACTTTTGAGAGTAACCAGGAGTTACTCTTGACGAGAGTTAGTGTTACTCTTTTCTAGGGTAAGGGTTACTCCTTGAAATGAGGTGTAAAATCAACACTTTTGAAGAGTAGCATAGACTCCTACAGGTGGTGTTGTACGTACCCTCGAAGCGAATGTTGTGGCTACTCTCTTAGGTGCAAATAGAACAACTCTAATGAGTGGTCAAGGCTACACTCTCGTGCCAAGAGTTATTTTAACTCCCTCGTAAAGGGTAACTTCAGCTCCATAAGAAGTGTTAATTAAGCTCTACGTCAGAGCTAAAAGTACACTCTGTTAGGTGTTACCTTTTCCCTTTCATGTAGTGTGCCTGAACTCTACAGAAGGGCAAACAAAGAGCTTCCAAGACATTGAATCCCTTAAGCAAGGTGTTTATTTCCCTCGAATATGGGCATTTCTTGTTCACAGCTACAACACTCCGCAATGCACGGATGCGAATGTCCGAAGAGAATTCTGCATGTGCTCACAGGACGAAAGGTGTTGCTTGAGCCTTTTCAGAGGGTGCCCATACAGGCCCTCATACAAGGTTGAGTGAAAACAGTAATACGGTGCTCGTTAAAAAAACAGATTTTAATGTACATGTAAAAAAATACACTCATTTAAGATCTCAATCTTCCAGTTTTTAAATTAAATCTAGTACCAAGAATGACTTGGTCTTGTAGGTCAAGCCAATGAAGTTGCCAATCACAGCAAGTGACCAGGATGCTTTTGGACAGCAGGAAATGTCATGGACCCAGTATGGCGCAAGAATGAGCGCAATACCGGCCACAATGTCCGTTACCTCGAAGGAGCAGTCCTCCAGCACCACTGTGAGTGGTGAACTTGAGGCCCCTCCCCTGACTTGCATCACAGGGAAGGCTGGCTGGACATGATCCTCCTCCTGTGAAGAAGAAACATGGGCAATTTGTAGTATTTGAAAGGAAGATAATTACCAAAGAAAGTCTACTCAGTCTCCTCGAGGTAATTACAGCAATTTCAGGGTGTCTAGCAAATTATTATTTTGAAATTCCCCAACTTTTCCAGATTTTCCCTGACAATTTCAGGTGAAATTCCCTGACCTCTGTAGAGGCGGTTCAATATATGAGACCATTACAACACAAGGCATTGAGCATTGAGCACTGTGAGCAAATTTCTAGAACCACGGGTTTTTCGAGTAATTAAGCAACTGCAGTGGTCCCCGGATTCAAACCCAGGACCTCTGCATGACACCCAGGAGTGGTGTCCACTCGGCCACCACATCATGCGCGGCAATATATGTGGCCCCCTCGTGGGCCCAGAAAAATACAACACAATGCAAATAGCACATCAAGTAGCACACCATTAAAGGGACACTTCAGTAAAGTGACAATTTGTAGATGAAAATATTTGTTCATGTTACACCAGCACACAATAAGAGCAACAACACCATATCCTGCCTTTTGCTATAATTTTGGCCTTTCAACTAGCTCAAAGATTGAAGCCTAAACTTTCTTTCCCCACTTCACACCACATTGTCTTTATAAATCGCCAGAATTACCAAATAAGCACGACAGGCTTATTTGCATTTTATTGTATGTATCTCGGTATGCTCGGAGTCTGCTGAGGTAGTGCATGCCTATATAAAACACTGTTGCTTGTTGCTTTATTAGAGCATCTTTTATAGAGGCTGAAGGCATAAGACCAATACTGCCTGTCAGCCCAGCAACAGGTGCAGAGCAAGTGTTTGAACATCTCCTTCACCATATTTAGTCACATTATAATATTTC